GCCATAGCTTTTTCTTTCAATCCCTTCATTCTGAGCATACACAAAAATAAAATAAAAGTTAAGGTAACTACCCAGCTGTTGCACCTGCCAATGAATAGCTTGGTCAGATTCAAACATCCTTCTAACAAGAAGCGAGTCAGGATTCCAGGCAATCCATATTCTCCTATATGGGTGACTCAAGTAATTATCAAGAATATCCTAGTTCTTGAACAAATTCTCCATAATTATGTTCTTGTTCACCAATCTTACCATGGTTTCAGTAATGTTCATTAGGTCAAGTAGCTGGCCCCTAACAAACTTCTTTATTTCTTCCTGCTTAGAAGAGTCATTTAGTCCTCAAATATTCTAGCAGGAAATTGCAATCATCAAGAAAAAAGAGATTTGGTGAGCCTAATACATTCAGTCTTCCTCCCCCCCCCCCCCCCCCAAATTGCCATGGGATTTTCTCTTAGATTTTTTCTTTTTCTTCTAAGATGTTTTGCTATTAGTCAAAGCAGGCAAAGAGTTTGCAGGGTTCTCAAGATTTAGAACAGCTTTTGGAGCATTGGGTGGGGGGGAACATGGTAGGCTTTGGACTAATATCCACAATCAGATTGCCACCCTCCTCAATAAGACAGATGAATCTATTATTGCTGGTAGGACCAACGAGTAATTCAAAATAAGGGGATTCGAAAGGGGGGAGACAACATTCACCTGGGATTCATTCTGTAGATCTGCTAGTTGAAGACCAGGGGTGCCATTGACATCTACTTCCATATGGTTATGAGAGGGAGAATCAACCATAATAACTTTTCCTTTATCAAACACTGTTGGAATTGACTCCAGAGGGTTATCAGAAATTGATGCAGCTAGATTAGTAGCAATTGGAGTAATAATCTGAGTTTCAAATAAGGGACATTGGGAGTCAGAGTGACCAAATATTTGGCAATGATGGCAAGCCCTTGGCTTCCATTGATACTCTACTCCAATACTCAATGTGTGCGGCGTCTTCACCCCCTAGCTGATGATCGAAAGATTCAATCAGCTCATCCTTTGCAATGACTTCAACACAAATGTGTACAAAATTGACCTCATAGAAAGTTGTCTTTGTATGTTTCAGCATATTATGATGTAGGCATTACATACGGCTTTATGTCGTTTGAATCGTTAAATTGAAGTTTATTTGCGATATATGTAGTTGCACACGTATGTTACATATAAAAATGGTAAAACATATATGTTTTTTTGTGTTTGTGCATTTCCTAGTTAAGGGAGCATAATGAAATCATAAGGATGTTTTTATTAGCCCTCTTCACCTTCTCTCATAATGTGTTCTACACTCCATTTTGGCTATAATATATATTTCAAGTTTGACAATGCTAAAGATTTGTCGAGTCTGTGTTTATTCTAGTAAGCATCGACTGGTGACTAAGATTAAAAAATTGAAACAAGTTTGTGCCCTTTAGTTTTTGAGAGTGACTAGTTTGGCTAATTCTGTATTCAGAATCTTAACAATTTCACCAAGTCCGGGATTGTTTTTTGGGCATTTTCGTATGTTTATGTTGGGGACTTTAGCATTAATCGGACAGTTTGTCCCTAGTGAAAGAAATTGTCACTTTTGTAACTGCTTTGAGAGGGTTGTTAGGCGCCGTGAATGGAGTAATGTTGAGTTGCATTCAAAATTTAAACATATTTTAATTGTAATTTGGGTCTGATCTTGCCAGCTCCACCCAATGGGCTCTCATTGGGACAGAGTTGGGGCCTAGGCAATTTGTTTGGAAATCGGATAGTGTTTTTCTTTTTGGGTAATTCCATCCAAAACCCATGTTGGGTGGTGATGGATATCTCTTATTCGAAAACCAACAGTTTGCCTTGTCAGTTCCCAAATAATTCCTATTTTCTCCTAAGAATTATTTTTGTCAATGGATTAGTTCGATTCAAAACTTAAGATAATGGGTGTAAACTGAAAAAAGATTCATAAGTAGTTGTTAATGGAGTTGAAGTTACCAAATTCTAAGGAGTTGGTATAAATTTATGCCTAATTATTCCACATATAGTTTCTCGAACTAAATTTTCTAAACAAACTAGAGTCAATCCGAATTAATCTTGTAAATGATCCGCAATAGAACGAGTATGTTTATTTTTCAAATAATTCATACCGTTAAGTTTACTCATTCCAAATTTATTCCAATCAATTGATCTGTGACTGCCAATATATCTCGTGGTAACAATAGCTCCGTGTTATCCATCTGACCCATATTGAACCGATAAATCATACTAATTGATCTTCAAAGAGTCAAAGTGATGAGGTGTTGAATGGCATGAACAGGGCCATTTTAAATAGAGGCCTGAGAATACTTTGATCTGGGCCATATAAGTGTATGGGCTAACAACAGGCAATGGGCTGCACTCAGTTGGCAATTGAGTCAATGTTGGATCACCAGGGTCCTGTAATTTTTAGCTCGTATTGAGTACTAGTTAATTCTTATCCAATCCATTTTATTAGTCATGTCTGATATTAGGATATTAATGTGAACTATTTTTAATCATGTCGTACTGCCAGTCAACGAGTTTATTATGTCAAATTTATTATATTTTTATTTTCTCACTAATCTCACTATTTATGGGTGATGCTCCATGCATCGCTAGACCGGGGGTCATGTACTTTCAAATTCATTTTTATAATTAGTCAATTGTAACCCATTAATGATGTATCGGGTCTGTCACGGGTTACCGGATATCTGAATTTGGGCCCATGTATAGGACGCGCGAATTAACAAAAATCAGGTGGTTGAGACATGTACACTTCTCAGAGAGCACACCATGTAATACAACTGTAAGCCTTTTAAACTCAAGCCTAACAGCAGGCTTTTCTAGGACCAAGTCCATCACCAGTTCTGCTAGCTTTTATGTGAAGGTGATGGGCTTCTGGCCCGAACAAAAAAGGAAGTGATTGGTTTTCCATGATAATTCACTTCTTGTCTAGGGCACAAATTTTTATTTTTATTTTTCTAGGGCACAATTTACTAACTCTTCTAAAACCTAATTTTAATGAGTAAAAAAAGGTAACTACTTGATAAATGTGTAGTTACTAATCAGAAAAATAATTATGTTGGAGACATGTACTCCAGTGATATAAGAATTAATATACATGTCTAAAATTCAAACCAACATAAAAAAAATTAACCTATAGATAGTGAGTTCATCTTTAATATATAATGACACTTTCACTTCTTTATTTATTCCCACACATGTAGTACCCATATAATAATCTCTATGATATAGGTATGTGACGCAGCGAAGCAAAGAAATACAAAGAACACTATAATTCTAAGTGTATAGAACAAATAGTCTGAATCTACAGAGAGAGTAACAAGAGAATATCTCTGAAAAAAAGTATATTATTCAAATGAATAATTCGTATTACATGAGAAAATATATATAGGAATGCTCAAAATCTTAATCATCCCCATAATAAAGATAAAATCTCTAATTATAAGAAAATTATCAAAAATAGAAAATTATAATCTAATTAACTAACATAAAACCACGTGTTGTATGAAATTCAACCCAACTGACGACGCTGAATTCAGAATCTCCTACAATTTATTATTAATTTATGACTTCTTTCTTAAAACGGTAAAAAAAGGGGTTTTGAAGGCCTAAACAATAGAATTCGACTCAAAAATGAAAGAGCTCGTGACAAAGTAATGAGTTTTGATCGTTGGCTCTATCCAGGTCAAACACCACCGGTCTCAATCAATTCTGAGTCCAAACCATTTTGCCATCACTTTTTTTATTTTTCTTTGGGCCTTGAACTCACAAGGGTCCACTTGCTCCAAATAATCATCAATTACTTATGCTACATCATCATGGCAATTTTGTATACCATTCGCAAACTTGGTACGAGATTAATACGGAATTATTGAATTTGGGTTGAGCTCTATCAGATTCAGATGGTATATGGTGGACATGTTAGACTTATTAAATCAATTGGTCACTACAAAACAAATAAAAGATGATTTATACAGAGTCAATTGTACACCAATACATAAGAGTTGAGTATGAGATAAAGAGATTTTGACACGATATAACTTATACACAATGCGAATTTGGCAGGCGGCCTAGTCCATCAATAATTATACCTGACATCGTAATCGAACCCGACACTTGGCCTTTAAAGTCATCCAACATGTACAGTACCCAAGTCTTGAATCCTATCCATAGTTTGTTGGAAGTACAACGTGGTAATAAATGAACCATGTCATTATGTCCATGCAATGAAATTGATATTTTTTTGATCAATGGAACCCACAAACCACTCACACTAGGCACTGAAGCTGATATCTGATATGGTTTGATTGAAGTGTTGAAATGGAGGCCAAAAATATCTCCAGTTCATGGCCCAAGTTTCATCAGTTAGTTTTGGGAATGGTCTGTTGTGGTCACTGCCACCACTCACATTGTCCTCTTTCTCTTTTGTCTCAACTGCTACTACTATTATGTACACCCTCAATCCGACAACAGGCTCATTGGTCTATGTTATCAGCAAGAACTTAGCTGACAACTCCAACGACGCAATTCTGATACAGATTTTCGTCACTTCTGTCTGGTATTTTATGAATGTTATATGGTTTTTGCTGCACTAGTGCATGGTGGCGCCATGTCTACTTGTATCTTGTGTTTTAGATATGTGCCTGGAAACAGTAATTCATGGCAGAAATTGACTCGGAAGACACTAAAACATTTTGATGATTATATAAGGAAACGACATATATTGGTATATGTGATATGCTCAACCGGAAAACAAGATGAAACAGGATAAAAGATTTATGTGAGATCGTAGCTTTCTTTAATAGATGAAAACTCGAACAACTTTGAAAATCTCACTACTTTTTTGTACTATAAATCAACCTTCTCATGTATATGATAAAGTACACTTAAACAATATACAATTAATATACACTTTCTATTTATTTCTTTCACGTAATATCAGACTCTAAGCTCGTGAATCTTTCGAGTCAAGGATAGTATACTCTGTAATTGTCCTGCGAGAGATCCTTTATATCAAGACTTTTGAAGCTCTTCTTCTTCTTCTCCTCCTCCTCCTTCTCTGACAACCTCTTCCGGTCATTCTCTGATATCAAAGGTCGGTGCCGCTTAAGCAAATCTCTAGCACCGTTCCGATCATTTTCCGTCATCTTTTCAATCATCTCCTGTCATTTGACAACGATGTCCTTATGTATACGGTAAAGTATATTAAAGTAATATATAATTAATATTTATTTTATATTATTTATTTCACAAATAAAAAAATAAAACGATTAGCTAAAATTAATGACAAATAGATGGAGTAAGCTTTGAAGACGAAAAAATGACTGATTCGACCCGAATATGATGTAATACAAATATGATGCAATAAAACAGGCTTGCCATCACTATTTACACTATGTACAAAGATAACTGGTCATTGTCTCATAGCCTAGCTCTATAGGCTTAGAGTTTGGCACTTCCTAAGTCTTTGAATCATTGGCCCTCCAAATAATTGAAGCAAGTTGTCTTTCTGGCATTTTACCTTTTCTCAATGACTGTACTAGATTAGAGTGTGAACTGTGTCGTGTCGTCGTGGTGTTATTTTTGGTCCTATTATTTTTTTATACTTGTTGAACGGTTTATATTATATTATATTAAAAAATTATAAAAATATATTTTTTGTCCATAATATTTATTAAATATCTATTTTCTATCTATAATATTCGTTAATTGTGTCATTCATATATAAACTTAATTTAATCTATTTATTATTCCTCTCGTATCATTATCTATATGTGATATAAAATTTGATGGGTAAAATTAACGACTCTATAGCAGACAAGTAGCTCCATCAATTACTCTTTCACAATCATGGAGGGCCATGACCACCATTCTCACCTATTTTGATGGAAAGGGAAAGGGAAAGGGAAAGGGGGAAGGGGGCATAGCTGTGGTGCCACCAACTCTCAACATCGTTCACTGTTTTTGGTTGCTTAAAAAAGTTTCAAATTACTCCTAATTAATGAAAAATAAGATTAAACCTAACATAATATTAATGCACAACCGATAAATTAGACATCAAATTTAGTAATTTTGAGAGTTTTGTTTTAGTAGGTTCGAATGGCAATCGAGTAAATCTATTAAACCTGAAAAATAAATGATCGATACAATCAAACTCGACTAAACACTATTTAAAATTGGATAAACATAACTTATAGGCAACGATATGAAACAATCTGAATATCGATTATATATAATTGTGAATATAATCTATATAATAAAATAACTTACAATTCAAATATCAAAAGATAAACAAAATGACTATTACTATTCATGGTTGAGATTGCTTTAAATTTTACCTTAAAATTAATCTAACGATTAATATTAACACCCTAAATTTAATAGAAAAAATAATCCCCTAAAGGTGTTTTTGGAGTGACTTTTTAAAAGTATTTTTAAAAATTACTTATCATAAAATTTTTTTAAAAAAATAATGTTTGAAACCGCCCCACCACTGCTATTGTCGCCGCCACTGTTGCTGCCATCACCACCACCGCAGTCACTGTCATCGTCGCTGCCGCCCCCACCACCACTGTCACCGTCGCCACCACTACCGTCGTCGTTACCACCACCCCCTCCACTGTCGCCACTACCACCACCACTGCCCTCGCCCCCGCCACCACCACTATCACCTACTATCGCCACCACCACCGCCTCCATCACAACCCACCAAAACCATCACTATCTCTTACCATCATTGTCGTCCACCATCTTTCATCCTCACTACAAAATCGATGTTTAAATTCATTTATCTCTTCTTTATGTTTATGATTTAATTTGGGATATAAATACAAATATGTTTATTGTTTATCATTTGTTATTACTCTGTACCTTCAGACACAGACAATAGCTAGTATATATATATATAAGTTTTGCAAATTTTAACATGAAAAGACATGATTTAAACAAAATGCAAATCCAATACAATACGATTCAGAGTAACTTATGAGGAAACCAATTTTTTGCACAGGCATAGTTATTGCCCTTAACTCAAAAATTATAAACAATAAAATTTTAGATAAATTATAATTTACACCATTAAAATATGCACTTAAATCTTATTTATTTCTTAAAGTTCTATTATTCTCAACAACCAAAATCCTTGAAGTTTTAATTGAACTTCAATTTAGCCATTACATTCAAAATTATTAATTTATTATGACCGAAGGAAATGACTTTCTGTAACAAACACGTGACTTTGGTAAAAGGATATATTTGTCTGATGAAAAATATTTTATAAATAGGCTATAAAATTTTATTTTGTTTTATTTGATTTTGAGTAAAAGAAGATAACAAACCTGAAAAACAAAAGATATAAAATAAGAATTGGAGATATACTTAAGATAAAGAGAGAAATACTGATGTATCTGAGAAAAAAAAATTGTCGAAATAATTTTATAGATCTAAATAGAAAGAATGAATTGAAACTCACTTAAAATTTTAAGGATATAATTATTGTAATAAATTAGGTTAAAATTTTAATTAGAGAAATGATGGCACGTGCACGACCCTTGGTAAACACGTGACACTGTTCTTGAATTACATGTCGGATGCCAGCAGCCCATGTTGATAATTGCTGTCTCTATGGGCTCCGTAAGTATGGGGTCTCTCTCTCTCTCTCGGTCGACCATTTTTCGTACGGTTTTCGAATAAGAAGTGGTGACGTTGATTTATAATAATTATTATTATTTTTTATGATAGTTTATATCAGTTATTATTTTTTATGATAAAATTATAATTTAAAAAAGAGAAATTTTAATTGTTTAATATAAGATTATGATCGATCATTAAACTCTTGGTATTGATCTCAGCTCTCTATCATTGATCATATATTTTTAAAGTTACAATTTCCACCTTAAAAATATGATAATTTAATCTTAAAAAATTATAATTTTTGGCACGATATTACCGGTAGTACAATAATCTTTTTTTTTTATTATGTGAAACTCATGTAAATAAATTTATATCTATATTTATACTATTAATAATATTATAATAATAAAAAGTTATAAAAATTAACATATTTTTTGTATTTAAATATAAGAATTATTATTATTTTTTTATATTTAAATAATAAATTAATCTCTAATATACTATGATTTGACCGTTTAAGAAGTCGGTAAGCCATCCAACTCGGGCCACGTGGCTACATGTATATTACCGACAATAGGTCGTCCACGTATCTAATTGGACAATCAGGTAGTACTAGAATGGGACCCACATTAGTTTCACAGCTGATGTGCAAGCTGTTAACAAAGTCAAAGTAAGATAAGCCACAGGCTTCTACACATTTGAGTGGGGGTGCGGGGGCTTCACCAAGAAATTTGGAAAGTTCTGATGCCAACTTCGAATTTTCCAAAATTATTTTCTAAATCCCACAAATAATTAGAAAAGTATTTTTATACATAATTATTAATCTTATTTAGAATATTAGTTATTACCTGTGTCTGAAGACACAAAATAATAAAAAAAATAGTCAACAATAAACATATTTATATTCATACTAAAAATTAAATCATAAATATAGAGGAGAAAAAAAAAATTTAAACCCCAGTTATAATAGAGGTGAACAGAGGTAGTGGTGGTCGTGATAGGAGACGGTGATGGTTATGGTAGGTGACGACAATCGTGGTGATGGCGACAACCGTGGGTAACAACGGTGATGGTGGTGGTTGATTTTGGGTGACGATGATAGTAGTGATAGTCATAGGTGACAACGGTCATGGTGAGCGATGACGGGTTCTTCTGGGCGATAGTGTGATGAGTAATGGTGAATGACAGTGGTGGTGATGGTGGTAGGTGTGGTGGGTGTGGATGACAATGGATGGCGGTAATAGGTGGTGATGACGATGGCTACAGTGCTGGTGAGGTGACAGTGGTGGGGCGACTGCGGCGGCGACGGCGTGGTGGTATGGAGTGATGGTGGGGCGGTGAGGGTGGTACTAAGGATAGTGGTGGGACAATAGCAGTGGTGATAGAATGGCGGCGACAATGGTGATGGAGTGGCAACGACGATTTTTGTGACAAATGTGATGGTAGAGTGGCGGCAGCAGTGATGGTGGTGGCAGTGGGGGTGCGGCGGTGGTGGCAGCGGTGATAATGGTGGCGGTGATGATGGTGGGGATAAAGTATTTATGAAAAGTTATAAAGTATTTTTAAAAAGTCACTCAAACACATCCTTAGGAATTTATTCCCTATTAAATTTGAGATGTTAATATTAGTTGTTGACCAATGAATCTTTGATCTAATGGTATTCCTTATCATATAAAATATTTGTTTTCTTGAGGTCAATAATTCAAGTCCCTTCCACTTTCACTGCCACTGTCACTCCCACTCCCAAAATAAATAAATAAATAAAAATAATATTAGTCGTCGAATTAACTTTAAAGTAAAATTTAAAGAGATTTTAACCACGAAAAATAAAAGTCATTTTGTTTATCTTATGAAATTTGAATTATATTTTAATTTATTATATAAATATTTCGAATCTCATTATAATAGAGATATCCATAGACTGGAGAAATAGAGACATCATTTGTCTATTACTATTGAAAAAAAAAATTAATAAGGGATTACATGTCTCCCTAAATTTGTTATAATTTATATTTTTAGGCCAAGTCAACTAAGAAAAAAATGATCATTTCTTTGTTGACTTCAATTTAAAATTTTTAATAAGAATCTTCGTCTCGTTTTATTTTTCACTAACTGGGAGAGTGACAATGAAGTTTATCATTATTTTAATTTCCTCTTTCTCGATTCTATTATATTACTTGAACAAATTTCAAGCTTGTTATGATTCCAATCATAAGGATACAAAGAAATTTTCTCTAATTCCCGACATTATTTTTCTTTAAACAATACATTAAACTTCTTTGTTGGGTCGTTAGGCAACTCAAAATGACACTATATATGATAATGAAACTAGGCAATTAGCCACAATATTTTCTTATAGCCACACAAAATTTAGTTTTTCTCTATTTTGGTCTAATCGTACAACAAAAATCGAACCAAGTTTGTCTGGTTGGTTGATGCGGATTTCTTTTAGTATATTTTTTATCACTTTTTTTTAATGATAGATCAATAATTGTGTATTGATTAAAAAAATTCACTTATTTGTAGTGGA